GCAGCAGCAGCAGCAGCAGCAGTACTAGCAGCAGCAGCAGCAGCAGCAGCAACGTTACTAACGTGCACAATGGATGAACATATGCTGCAGCGTCCTAACAACTAAAGAGCATTTATTATATTCATTGCAGGAGAGTGGTATGTGCACAACTGCACAGTATCTACTATAGCCATGGCCGTATACAGTCAGTGCCCTAACGACCGATCTCCAACTACTGCAGTAATTGCAGTACAGTGTCATAAGAAGTGAAGTGAATCTAATGCAGTCATCGTAGCACACACACCCACTCGTCCGGCAGACGAACTGACTGCCACGTTAGTCTGCACATGTACGCTCTGCGATCAATGCCCCATTAACAGTCATGAGAAGTTCAGTTCCTCTCAGGCGTACAGGAGTTTTGCCCTGCCCCCGCATCACACCCACCCGTCCACCGCTACCTCCCTCTCACATCGCAACATTACGGAGAGTGGAGATGCGGAAATCGGGTTTGCGACAATCACTCGCTTTTCTCTTCATTAAACTCGGCATTTTTTCCCCCAATCGAACTTCATCAAGCACCTATTCCCCGCACATTCGTTTAAACTCGATGCATTAGCGCTTGAAAGCCGCACTTGCCCCGGATTGTTCCATTCCGCTAAAAGGTGTATTCGATTAGTTATATTGCGGCATCGCATTAAAGGTCTATAACCAATAGTCATCAGCGCAATTACTCTATTGCCTCGCTGCGGACAAAAAGCCCGCGCTGCCACGAATTAACCAAAACGCGACCCTCTCCCCTCCACTGCCTGAGACACGACCCCCACCTGAGACACGACCCGTCCCCGACCCCTCGCAGCGCTGCTCTCACCATGATGACCTGGCGCGGGAGGTCGCCGTTGTGCGACAGCGCGAACTGGCCGGCGTGGAAGACGGCCATGTAGAAGACGAGCGTCGCGAGGTTGCGTCCGTCGAGCGGCGTCTCTACGAGCGGGATCGTGCCCATCGTCCAATCGCACAGCAGCGTCGACGGCCACAGCAGCAGGCCGAAGTTGACGGGCAGCAAGTAGTTGAACGTGAGCTGGCGTGCGGGGAAGCTGGCCGCCGCCGCCGGGTTGTCGAACCTGCGAGCAAGAGCGTGCACGTGAGGGAGTTAGAGAAGTTAAGCAGTGCTGAAGCAGTCGCATCACAATGCATATCAGTTGCATCAGTTATATATATATATATAATATACTGATTTGAAGAATAGAAGGGGGCCCCCAAAATGTCGAATTGTACAACATGGAGTGGTGGAGTCAGAGGGGGTGGTAACCAAGGTAGTTAGGTTACCGATTTGAGGAATGGAAGGGGGGAGGGGGCCCAGTGGATGAGTGAGAGGAGTCGGGGGCAGTGCCCGAGGAACTCATGGAATCCAGGGTAACAACCGGTACGAAAACAGCGTGACACAACGACGACGACGACAAAACCTATCAAACACTCGACAGAAGCTCCGCGATTCCCAGCAGCAGCCAGCAGTGAGATCACGGAGTCATGACTTACTGAGTGAAGACGGGTAGCTTGGCGCCCATCACCTCCATGCGGGCGGCGAGCAGCAGCAGCGTGCATCCACACAGCACGACCAGACGCAGCAGCGACGCCTTCAGCCAGTCCGGAGCCTCGATCTTGCCGTTCGCGACGGCCTTTGTCAGGTAGAGCAACTCTATCACCTTCACCTGTCGGGGCATCGAGAGAGGAGGACGGCGCGTCCGTGAGTGGAGCGTGGGTGTAGGAGGGGCAGTAGCAGCAGTAGTAGCAGCAGTAGCAGCAGCAGCAGCAGCAGCAGCAGCAGCAGC